AATGCAGTACTGCAGTCAAGCTATTGGCTGCAAATGAAATATCAGAGGTTTACCCCTGGAGATTTTTCCCAAAATCTCGTTTACAAGGCTCTTGTAAACGATAGAACATTTTTAAGAACAACAATAGTAAGAATGAAATCAAAATCTGTTACTGTACTACAGAGTACAAAAGCTCAGCCGGCTATACAGTTATTCCAACTAGTATTTGTGTCACTATTTATATCATCTAAGCAAGCGTAAAACAGTGCTTGCAAGTGGTCCACCAAAATTTCAAAAGCATCATGCTTGCCTGTCCACTGAGAATGGGAAATTTCCTTCAGTTCTTTACCCTTTTCATCACTGTTCTAAAAAAGAACAGAGATTACATTGTCAAATTCTAGAAGCAGTTGTGATTGATGGAAAAAAGAACACATTTTCTCTATTGTTCCTGCTGTAGACTGGATGCCCCCCCAACTTCATTGAAGCTTTAGTTCCCACTGTTGAGGGTGGGAAATCCTATTATGGTAACTGAAAGGTGGAGCCTTGAAAAAGTGATTAGATTGTAGGACCATGAAGTAGTGAATGGATTAAAAATCATGGCCAGGGGCGTCGTTCTGAGGACTTTAAAGAGAGAGGAGTCTCAGTCTCTCTCTCTCTGCTCTCTCTGTTCCACCATTTCACAACATGATACCCTGTGTCACTGAAGTCACCACCAAGACCCTCACCAGATGTGTTCCCTGGACTTTGGACGTCCCAACCTCAGAAACTGTAAGCAATAAATTTCATTTTCTTATAAATTACCCAGTTCCGTGTACTTTGTTATAAGCAACAGAAATGGACTAATACAGTTCCCAATGCAGCCGGCTCTCATTTTGCCAACCACATATTTAAAGCACAGGAAGAGCAGAGTGTGTAGATAGCTTGAGCATATTTCTCTAAAAGTCTAGAAGCAACAACTTTCATTTTGGAAGAAAATCCACTGGACACAATGTAAGCCTGGCCATGACAATAGTCCATATTTAGTTCCCACTTCTCAGTTATCATAGTGTGAAATTTCACAGCCAAAATTTCTGCATCAACTTCATAAGGCAGGAAGCTGACATTCCCCTCTCAGGTTATGATTCATCAACAAACCTCACACCAACAGGGTAGGTGCTTTTCCCCTGTTATGTCCACTATGTCGTCAGCAATAATGGAAAAAAAGTGACTCTCACTTCCCTGAGAGTTTCTTCGAAAATACAGCTCTCACAGATCTCTAGCATCTGTTTCTGCTGCATTTTCCAACAGAACAACTTGTTAACTGCTGCTGTCTCAAAGCACTTTCCCAGTACCTCATCACTAGAATTTATCCTGAACTCCAAGCAGTGCTTGAAAGTTATCAGAAGTAAAGAGACCTTCTAGGATTTCATCAGCCTCCTGTCCATCCAGAGGTATGTTTTGTTTTCCCATAAGAACCAAGATTTCAAATAGAGATTTTAAGTATTCTTTGTTTTCCTTCTCTTCAAGGGTTAGAAGTAAAATGTCTTCCTCCTACGTTAGGCCAATGGCACAGCCATGGAGATGGGTGGGGTGCCTGTTATGCTCGGGTAACTTCTAAACCTCTTGGCTCCAAGCACCCCTGTGGCCCAGCCCCATCAGTGGTCTCCCTTCTTCTGCACCGAGGTTCTGAGCATTGCTGTTGTTGGTTCCTTTGTCTTTGTTCTTGTTGAGAAGTTTCACCCATTTTTTTCTGTTAAAGTATCCTGATAGTATCTTCACTCAATTCTTTTTTTTTTTTTTTTTTTCCCTTTTTGTCTTTTTTACTGACCGGTATGGGATCGCAACCCTCGGTGTTGCTCCCACACCGCGCTCAGCCAGTGAGCGGGAACCAGTCTCCACATGGGATCCGAACCCTCGGCGCAACCCTTGCTCCAACACCGCGCTCAGCCAGTGAGCGGGAACCAGTCTCCACATGGGATCCGAACCCTCAGCGGGAGCGCCACCGCACTCCCAAGCGGCGCACTCTCCACTGCGCCACTGGGCCGGCTCTTCACTCAATTCTTTTACTCATTTTCCGTGTCTACTATGTGGATTGTTCAAACGCCTTGTAAGGTCAAATAATGTTGGTATTGCATTATCTCCAAGAATTGTCCTACTAAGGACTAGTCTATAGATCACAGTGTCAAAGAGTTTGGCACATAATCGATAATGTTAATTTAGTTGATCAGGTGTTTTATCTTCTAAATCTCCTCTCAAAATTCTCCACCCACTTCTGGCATCTGGCTGGATCCCATGGGAACCTGAGGAAGACCAGGTCAGACTGCTCTTCCCCATGCAGTTGGGAGCAGTACAGAAGTTCAGCATCATTGCCTGCCCCTCAGGGCTAAGAAGAGGAGTCCAGCAGGCCCACCAGCCAGTGCAGCAGCACCCTATTCATTTCCTTTTTTCACAAAGAAATCTATCTCCTATCAGGTAGGGATAGTCACCTCACTGGGTGGATTTTTTTGCAGCTAAGTTCTAACCACATCTTATACAGATTTTCAACCAGTCCTTCCTTCTGTGTACCTGGTGGTTCTTAATTCCTGAGGCTTTTCAGCCTACCTGGGTACTATCTCCTAGTATAATCAAAGATGGTGTTTTTGCTTGTTTTCCCTCTTATTTTGAGATGATTTTCAAAAGAAAGGGAGGCAGATAGCACCCTTTCCCCACTCTGCATCTTGAAAAAGAAGTTTCCTTCCTTCAGTCTCCTGGTTTCCACCTATACCCCCTCACCAATCTGATCACTACCAGCTTCTGCAAGCCTTGGCCCTGGGCTGTCAACATCTCCCACAGCACTCTACCCACACAATCTCAACCAGGATTCCTTTTTTTTTTCTTTTTTTTTAAAAAGATGACCGGTAAGGGGATCTTAACCTTTGACTTGGTGTTGTCAGCACCACGCTCACACAGTGAGCCAACCGGCCATCCCTACATGGGATCCGAACCCGGGGCCTTGGTGTTATCAGCACCGCACTCACCCAAGTGAGCCACAGGCTGGCCCTCAACCAGGATTCTTGCCTTGTCCACCTCTCCACTGTCACCAAGCACTATGCTGACCCAGGTCTTTGATCCCAGCAACGTCCTTACACATGCTGGTATTTGCAGAGATAAGAAGTCAGTGGCTACAGAGAGAAATTGGTTAATACAAGGAGATGATAAAATAAATAAATTCATTAAGGATCACTGAAGCCAAGTTTCTCACTATCAAAAAAGGGAGTTATAAATACAGGAGGAAAATAAAATGAATCCTGTGATCTTGAATTGGAAGTAGAGATTATTGATGTAAATTAATTGTTTTCAATATTTATATAGAAATAGGTATTGCTGTAAATGTGTCTGTCTATACATGTGTATTTCTTAGCAATGTCCATGAAAGAGCCTGGGAACAAAGCCATCACAATAGCAACAAGCACACTTAGAGCTCAGATCTTGGTTACTAAGTACCACCTAGAGGACCCAGGGCACCTTGGAGAAATGGCTGGTTCCAGGACTCAGGCAGAGAAAGTGTAAAATGAGCCTGGAGCATATTTGGGGGCCAGAAAGTAAAGAAGTGCTCAAAGAAACATGAGGACATTTTCTGTCCTTTGTCAAAAGGACAAAGGAGCTTAAAGGAGTTTCCACTGGCCAAACTGGGGATGATTTAAGCATCAAAATAAATAAGGATAGTAATAGATTATAACCCACTGAATAAAATTGTAAATTATGAGTCCATACTGATAGAAATAAATGATGAGCTAAAAGTTCAGTGAGAAATCAGATTTTTGTATACTTTCAAATTACCTCCCCACAAAAATCCTTATTAGTAACAAATAGGAAAAGAGTAACTTTATGGTGGGGCAGTTTGGCAGACACCACCTTAACCAAGTGATCAAAGTGAACATCACAAGTAATGGGACAAACTGAAATTGTATGCAACCTGATAGGTGCAATGTGAAGACCATAGCATCACTTCTGTAATATCCTGCCGAAGGTGCATAATCTGAATCTAATCATGAGAAAACATCAAACAGACCTGCATCGAGGAATTTCTACAAAATAACTAGCCTGTAATCTTTAGTAGTGTCAAGGTCATGAAAATCAAGGAAAGACTGAGGAAATGTTCCAGATTCATGGAGTCTAAAGAAATATGACTAAAGCAACAGTGATTCTGACCCCTTTCCTTTAAAGAACATTATGGGACAGTTGGCAAAACATGAATGGGGTCTAAGGATTATATAGTATTAATGCGTAAATATTAACGTCCTAATTTTGGTGATTGTGTTGCAGTTATGTAGGAGAATGTCCTTGTTTGTAGGAAATACACAATAAGTATTTGGATGATGGGACATTAGGTCTGCAACATAGTCTCAAATGGTTCTGCGAGAGGTTTCAACTCGGGGCTGCGCACTTCCATTGGCCTGCATAGCCCTGGCTGCCAGAAATAAACTCTTTTCCTTTTCCCATCACCCAGTTCTCTTGGGCAAATTTCTTTTACCCGTCGGACGTTGGCCATAACAATATAACTTAAAATAGCAACGTTTATGTGGACTTTAAAGAACAAGGTTTCTCGGTGTGTAAGAATGTAGTGCTCAAAGACAGAAGTTATGATTCTTCTCAGTTGTAGTGTGCCCTAATAAGAAACATTGTTTCCTGTTAAAGTCACAACTATCTGTTTTCCATCCTGATGAATGGCTGGGCAGACTGTTACTTTCTCAACCTGAGTTAATTTTTACTTTCTCAGCAGCCACAAATGAAAAGAACGATTAGGTCTCTCAAACCACAGCTAATCCACTTCTCCAGCCTCCCTGGAAGTCCGCGATCCTGCGCTGGAGTCACACTCCTTCCTTTCTCTGCGTAATCCTTTAAGCATCCCACCCTCCCAGGACGCACTCAGCGCCTCAGGGCAGTCCTGCCCTTCTCGAACCTAATTGGTTGAAGGCCACGCCTCTCACCGCACTGGGGGCGGGACAAAAGGGAAAGGCTCCTCCCCGGGCGCGAGAAGATGATGTCACAGCAGCGGCGCTGAGTGCGTTAATTCCTTGGGATTATACACTCCTTGACTGCTGCAGCCTGAAGACCGTTCTGTCGGCGACACCGTCGCAATGACCATTTGTCAGTTCTTCCTTCAGGGCCGGTGCCGCTTTGGAGACCGGTGCTGGAACGAACATCCCGGCGCCGGGGGTGCGGCCTGGGGACGTCAGCAGCCACAGCAACAGCCCTCAGGTGATGAATCCGCCGCCTCCAGCCAAGCCGGGCAAGGCCCGCCAGAGGCCCAACCGGCAGGGCACGGGGGTCCCGCGAGGATCCCCGTGCT